ACACACACACACATTAATTATGACTTCCTCTTGCAGGATGTGTCATGTCTGAACACTGCCTCTCATGTCACTGAAGATGCTCACACACCTCCATTATACTGTCAAAAGTGATCAGGGTGTGTGTCTGCGTGAGAATGTTTCAAATGACAAAAAGAGTGGGATAAAAAAAAGGAAAAAAAAGAAACAAGAGGCAATTTAATTTCTCATCACAAAAGGAAAAGAAAATGACAGAAGTGTTAATCTCAACTTTGCCGTGGCCTTTTCTCATTTTCACTTTTATCACGAGGGAAGATAGACTCCCTATTGTGGTTTTCATAAAGCCCTCCTATTCAAAGGGCACACGGACATGCAGGTCAGTTTCAAGCTGGGATATTAGATTCATATTTCACATGAAGACATTTCATAACATTACGTCATTCCCTCATCCAATATGGAACGGGGCTTTTGACCTATCATTGATTGACCATGATGCTTGTTTCATATGAGTTATCGGTGTCTGTGTGTTGCTGTTTTTGGCAGTCAGAAACATTGGCCATTCTGCACAGTGTCCTGATTTGGGAAGCTGTCAGAACTAATTTCCTATCATGAGAGAATGAGGACACCTGCTGGATATTGGTTGACATTGTTTCCATGTATAGCTCGCCTCGTGGGAAGGCACAGTCAGTTAATGCGGCATTCATTATTCATCCGGATGTGAGTTTTTCAGATGTGAGAGTCTGCTAGATTTCATTGAACAGACACACGACCAATGCACTTTTCTTGAAATCATTTATTGACACTTCATCTTCTTTAGTTGCTCATCATGACCTGAAAACACAAACGTTCAGTCATTAGGTTGAAACCATGAGGAGCATTCACCGAGGGCCAAGTGGAGGCACTTACCTCGTCGATCCAGTCGTTGAAAGCGGAGACTCTGGTGAACACGGTGGGTTTCTTCACAAAGTTGCAGCCAAGACCAGAGACGAAGCTGGCGATGCCGTGGACCTCCCAGGTGCCCTCGCTGTTCTGACAGTTCAGAGGACCACCGGAGTCGCCCTGGAAACACAGTGAGAGAGCAGGAGAGCTCATGTTTTATTCATTTGGTGGAGCTGCTGGGAGACTTGCGGGGCCCAACTGTGAGAATCACAATCATTGTTTCACCAAGTGTCATCGACGGGTCACAAGGAATATTTTCCGGTGTAGGCAGAAGAGCTTCCCCCCTGATTCCTTGTATAATTGTATTTAAACCCACTTTTTGCCTTCAAACTCAACTGAAATAATTACAGAACAGCAAGTAGGGTCAAAACGCTGGACAATGTATTTTACTTAATTAAACCTAGCAATACTACATTTTAGAGATATATTAAAGTAAAAGTCCTTCATTGAAAATATGAATTTAGTGTTGGCATAAAAAGAGAAATCCAAAATTGGGATCAATAAAGTACTGTTTACCTTATTTTATTACCAAAAGTGAAAGTAGTGAAATACTAGATTATGATTATTGATGCGTTGATGTATTAATCACAGCTAGAGCACACTTTAATTACTCTGTAACTGCTGCTGGAAAGCTTAACGTATGTAACATAATGTTTAACAATAGTTTATATATTTTTTTCATTTGAATAATGTAATGATGTAAAATACATGTAGTGGAGAAACAAAGTAGAGAATTGGCTTCTAAAATAGGAGATGAAGTAGCATCAAATTAAAATGCTCTGTTAATGTGCAAGGACCTCAACGTTGTACTTTAGTACAGTACTTGAGTTAGTACTCTGTTAAGCTTAAAGATAATCTTAGTCACACAACATTTGAGCCAGGGGAAATCATTCCTTGACACCCACTCACTCACTCACTCACTCACTCACTCACTCACTCACTCACTCACTCACTCACTCACTCACTCACTCACTCACTCACTCACTCACACACACACTTACGTTGCATCCACCGACGACTCCATCCCCTCCGGCACACACCATGGACCTCCTGATGGCGACGCCCCACCAGTCGGACTGCGTGCAGGTCTCATGGTCGGCCACAGGCATCAAAGCCTGCTGCAGCTTATCAGCAATGGAGCCTCCGGCTGGAACACACAGGCAGAGTCTATTACCATCTTCCACACACACCAAATCTGCTCTACAGCATTTCCCCAAGCGCCAAGTTCACAGACCGACCAAATATATCAATTTAGGTGTAATCCCCCCCTGAAAGAATACAGCTATAATCTCATGCATAGGCTTTACATCCTATCTATTCCATGGGAAACCACCATCTCCTACACAGCTGGGTATTTACACAAACATCACATATAAAACCCTAAAGGACAGTTACATGAAGACATTTCAAATATGCTAAGCTGAAATAAAATGTTCAATTACACATTGACACATAAACAGCCAGGCTTGGGTACGTGAAACAGGATTTATGTAATAATCTTAAAGTTAAATTAAGAAGATGGACTCATTACAATACGTTTTAAAGCAAAGAAGGGTATATCACGAAGCACAGGCTTGAGTGAAACTAGCAAATCTACAGTCCCTGTAGTTCAAAGAATGTTTCCACTGGGTGGGAAATGGGCTATTATTTTGTGTTAAAAGGAGAAAAGAGAAACATTACTGTTCACTGCAAGCTGTGCCTTCCAGCTGTTAATATTCTGTCAATATCCAAGGAGTCAACAACTCATTTGAAGAAACATTTACAGGTAAATGCTTTGTAAATGCAATGTTGTAGTCCAGTGCTTAAAATAGTTAAGCATACGGAATGAATTTGTTCATTCATTTAATTCTTTTTTCAAAATCCATTGGGGCGACAACTGATTTGTTAAATAAAAATACGGTGTGTAGACATAAACATGGATTCATCCCAAGTGTGGACATTTGTAACAGCAGCAGTGTTAAAAGTCATTGCACATGAATTATTACAAAAGTACAAATAGAATCAAACGAATAGCCGAATGAAAATGCACAAATGAGAAAATAAAGCATCAGAAAGACAACAAATAAATATGCAGGATGCAGCTGCCACCATGCTTTATGTATAATATGTATTTTCTCTTGTAGTATTGTCTGTATAAGCATTGTATTTGCTATGGAGGACATCTTACTGCTTACATTTTGTTTTAAGGGAACTAGTAATTGTAACTGCATATATTTTTTAAGTGACCTTCCCAACCCAGATGATATGAAGATATTCCAGAGATGCTAAGCTAAATGTCTGAAAAGCAAACAGCCTTCAGTAAATAGTGCCTTACTGGACAGCCTGCCCCAGCCGGTGATGTAGCAGGAGGAAAGGTTAGACAGCAGAGTCTCCGCTGCAGGGATACAGGCCAGCTGCACATGGTCGCTCAAAGTCACAGACTCCGACAGCTTGATCAGGGCAATATCATTTCTGCAAGGACCCCATAACAAAAAAAAGAGAAAGTGACTAAAAACGCTGATTGAGCATTTCAATCTGTATTTGCCATATAGTATTAGTAGTATAGTATCTGCTATGTATACAAAGAAATCTCAATCTTACGGCATCTATCTAATGTTTCTAAAGACAAAATCCAGCTGCATATTTGACTATGAATAATACACATGGTTTAAGAGGTCAACTGATATTCATGTTTCGAGACACCTTTATTGGCTGTGCCAGAATGTGAGCTCTATGAAGATGGAGACCTTGTGTCAAAGGTACGCGTTGGACCGAAGTGAACGAATGGACTTTGAGTGTCGGCCCATTCTATCACCTCGACACAGTACAGATGAGATTATGATGAACTGCATGTCGCGGCACGCTTTCTCTTTGTGCTGTGTTTTAGTGCTTGTCTTACCCGATGGCCACTAGGACCGGGTTCCACTGCCTGTGGACGATGATCTTGTCGGTCAGGATGGCCTTGGAGCCGGCCTCCAGCTCCACCAGGTTGTGTTTGCCGACGTGGACTCTGTATTTCAGCCTCTCGCTTTGGGAGGGAAGGGAGAACAGATTGTTTAGGTCCTTGCTAACCCAACCGGAAGATTTAATGCACAGTTGAACGATGTAATGAGCTCTAATTGGTGATTAGCTATGGCTGCAAGATGAGGAACAGTATTTTAATTGGGCAGTGTCCAGATGACCTTGACTGTATTTTCTTTTGAGGATGACATTTGAGTTTGACACTTCTGGACCTTGCCTGATTCTCTTTTCTCGTAGGGTGCAGATTTAGGCGAGTAGTGTGGTGCAGAATATCTGTGAGAATGTGACTTGTAGTAGTGGGCATTGGTGGATGTGTGTGTGTGTTCCTCATGCTCGTACTTGATGCAGTGAGCAGCAGTCATGACCCAGTTTGCAGCAATCAGAGATCCTCCACAAGTGTGCCTCCACGCACCGTTCCTCTCGTACTGCAGAGAGATCTGGAGACAAATAAGGACATGGTAAGGGATGCAGCAGGTTGTGAATCTAGGGAGGGGTTTTTGCTAAATTAATTCAAAACCATTTAATTTAGAGTTTTCAATAGCCACTGGATTTGGTAACTAATTAGCAGACCCATAAGGTTTGCCAGCTAATATGAAAACATAGACAGATGTGTTTATATTAGCATACCTGCCAGGGCCAGCTGTGGGGCTTGGCGTCGACTCCATTGACCACACGGGAAGTCAGGGGCTCGATGGCGGGGGTGCCGCACCCAAGGACTGGAGAGGGAAGATACATGAGACATAAGATAGAGTGTTTATGAGGTTAGAGAACAATACATGTTGTATTCTTATGCTGCATCATTTGTCTTTTCAAGTGCACAATGCTAGCTCACTGTGTGGTAATATGCAGGCAGGCACACTCTCTCATACAAACTTGCAAACTGGAGAAACAATTACACACAGAATTAGGGGGTGCCAGATGTTCTTACCGCTAGCAATGAGCACTGAGGCCAGCACAATGGGGATCATGTTGATTGATGCTTCTGCTGAGGCACAGCGGGACACACACTCTTTTAAACTTTCCACCACGGGCAACACCCGCTCTGAATGCGGCAGCACACACTCCCATTGGTTTGCCATGGCCTCCAGGGGATGGGGATGGACCAATGGCGACGAGGATCAGCGCAGATTAGGTGGCGGACGAAACACACAGGTGTGTATTCTGGAACATTTCCCGTGACCTTCATGTAAAGCTACAGTGTGTCCTCTATGCATGCTACATATATGCTGATACATGTAGTCATGTAGTCATGTTCTTTGTACATGCTTGTTATGTGTGTGTCTTCAACAGCTGTTGGAGGAGAAGACACACCGCTCCACATTATTCTCTGTTTTCAATCTCACCTTTGCTAATTTTCATGACAGAGTCTCTTCCCTGAAACCTGGTATTAAACGCTTGCATAACAGCATGGGTGAGCCAACATCTGGATTGAAGGTACTGGACTGTTTTTCTCAGAAATGTGACACAAAACTCAATATAGGGGATATTACTGCGATGCATAACCGGGACAATGAGGAACAGCTGGTGTCATCGGTGCAGAAAATATCGACAGTGGCAGCACAATCTTTGACTTCTTTAGATTCTTACTGAGTCCCGCAGCGCTAGAAATGTGAAAGATAATGCATGACCAAACATACACATTCTCACCGTCTGCTACCGGCCTCATTGACAAGGACCCCCAATGACTTTTATCACCCCCAGACAAACATTTTGCATTAGGCCTACATACTAAATGCACATCCTGGGAACAGCTTATCTTCTTTTTGATATTGTAAATCTATGTTGCACATTTCTTCTCCACACTACCTCTTTTTCAATCTGCACAGCTTTTCACTTTGAATATATAGTATTAGTCATATTTTATTATATTGTACTGTACTCTGTTTCTCACATAATAATATGCTGTGTAAATATTGTCTTTATTTTGTATTTGTTGCAATAGTCTTAAAATCGTTTTTTGAAATGGCTTTTATAACCGTACTGTTTTAATTACGTTTTGTTCTTTCTGTGTCTTGGTCTGCACAATATAAACCAAAGCAAATGCCTTGTAAGTGTGAAGCTACTTGGCAATACAACCGATTCTGATTCGGATATTCTTAGCATTATTCGATGTAGTATGTAGAGTTGTCTTTCAATCAGCCAACATGTTGGAGTGATACCTAACCCCAAGGTGGTCCTGAGGCATGGTCGACGGTGTGTGAATGTGTGTGACGGTTAGCTTACTTGTGAAAATGGCACTGCTGTGTAGGAATGAGGTGTGAATGGGTTAATGGTGACTTGCTTTGAGGGTTCATAAAGAATGGATAAAGCTTTATATAAATACAGTCAATTTAGTAAGAAGTAGGAAACAATGGTGGTTTGAAACACTGGTCCAGTTCATCATGGCCTTGTTCTAATAACTTGATTAAGTTATGAGACTAGGGAGCAATTTCAGGGATATTAAAATGTCAAGTTGGAAGTGTTAATCTGTAAGAGACTGCTTGGGTGGTGTGACATGGCACAATTAAGGTTGGGTGTTATGAGGAGGAGGCAGCAAAGGTGGTGAATGAAAGTCACTGTTTGAACACAAAGTGATTGAAATGATTCCCAAGGTGTTTCTAATGAGGACCTGAAATCAGCTCAGACAGAATCAGGTTGTTGAGGCCACACGTTGCTTAGAGGGAGTAACCTCTCTGAACAAACATTGTGTTGTACTACAAAGCATTTCAGTAAGGAGAAGAAATACACAATTATCAGACTTCTTCAGACTGGATTTTCTGTTCAGTTCATGAATCCTTTAGTTTCCCAGTTCACCACTAGATGGGACACTTTATCTGTTTAGACACCAGCCTAAGTGGCATTATTTTACCTTAAGATAGACATATTTAATGCTACATGTTTGTGTCTGTCTGGAGCGAAATTACATTCAAGCTTTGTATAAAAAAAGGCATTTAAGGAATCAGTTCTGAATCTAATTAGGTTGTACAGAAGCATCTGTAAAGGAGGTCAAGCTAATCTTTGATGTTGGAAATGATAGTCAGATACTCTAATACACTACGAGAAATACCTAACAACATCTGACAGCTGAATCTACAAAACCATTCTATAAATCATGCTTGTTTTTTAAATCTTATTTTCAAAGAGTGGTTAGCTACCCATAGTTTACAGACTGGAGATAATGTTTGATAGGTGGATAAAAAAACACTTAAAAAGCAACGATAGCAACAAACTAATATTAGGGTTGTGATTCTTACGTGTCTAAATGTTCTCTGTCTGTGTGTGAAAGCATTATCACAGTGCATGTGAGAAGCTTCCATACAGGTGCAATATGCAATTAATTGAAAGCCAATCAAAACAACTCTTCAAAACACAGTTGAACGTGTTGCAGTGTCCAGAATAGATGCCCCCCCTCGCCCACTTTCTGATTAAACGTCGTGTATTAATTGAAGGCGCTAGATGACACAAGATAATGAACTGACGTGTGTGCTGTAGTTATACGACTACATTAAAACGGGACAGGATCAGAATAGGTAATAGGTTAGCTATAGGTAATGCTACTTTTACAGCGAAACCTAATCACCCTGACCTGAAATATCTCCGATTTGAGTTGAAAACCTCTGATCTCCGACATCTGCTCTTTGCCACTGAAATATGTTTAGGTGCAGCCTGTCATCTTTTGAGATGAGACTAGTTTCATGGCTTAGCAAAGCAAAACACCTCATCAACTGAAAGCCCCCCGGGGGTTTGTAGCAGGTACACTTCAGCAGGTTTTCCCTCACAGAACAGAAAAGCTGAACTCCTGATGACACTTAAGGTTTACGGCAGCAAACATTGTACTTGGACGTGGAGCAAAGGAGACAGATTTTGCAATAATGTATAAATATGATTGTGACATCAACACCATGACAATGTACAGCATGCAGGATCTTTTGATTTGTGCTAAAGTCTATGCTTTAGCACATTCTGAGCTCACTAACGTCCATATTGTTAAGCTTTCTGCCTCGGAAAAAAACGACACAGCTGTATTTTCCAGCGGCAGCCTTATTTGCCACAGGCGGTGGTTTTTGAGCCGGCGGGCTGAAGTAAATCCAAACATCGGCTGGCTGTCTGCTGCTGATTTGCTTTTATCATCATCCTTCCTCCTGATGTTAACAGAAGGCCTTCCCTGCTTTCGCTTTTTGATAGTTGCTGCATATGTTTATTTCTTTTTGATGTCTTTGTTTACTCTGGTTTTATTCAGTTCTTCCTAGCATTTTTTAGTTGATCATATCGTAGAAACTCCTGTGTGGGAACTAGCGATTTAATTGAATCTCATAAGCACATCATGACCCAACTGGTCTTCCTACAGGTCCTGTACGTACACGCCAGGTTTAATTTCCTTTCATGTCGAGTGGGAGAGAGGAGCAGCCTGTCCAACCACATACAGTGATATAGTGTGTTAAAAACAGCTTAAAGCTAGATATCATTATTTGTATTGATTGAGTGTTTATGCCTGTATGATCAGGTTCCAATTGCTCATTTTATATATCTATTTTCATTATAAATTATGTTTGCTCTGCCCTCTTTTTGAAGACACAATTATTATCAATCACCTAAACTTGGCATTCAGTCTCCTGTGATTGTTTTTTTTTTCATGTTAAACCCTTTACCATTTATAAACAATTAAGAGACCTTTTTTATATATTTCTTTGTCCTCAGGTATTTTCATGTTTATAATACATATAAGTGTGGTTTCTACTTAAAAGCGGTCCCTCTTTTAGTTTTGTTGTTCTTCATTCACACATGTTTTACACGTATACACACTCAAAGTACAGTGTATGACGAGTGATTCAGTGTAATTTTGGTTTTGGAACAACCACAACTATTTCCGATCTAAGAGGCGTTAGCAGGGATGTGTTAGCAGGAGTGCTTGGGGTGTTGCATGCAATGTCAAATAACTTGAACGCTATCATTATCAGAATTAGACACACCGACACAATCCTGCATGGCCAATTATCACTGAGGGTCTTAAACAAATCCTTATTACTGTTGCACTTTTTTTTGCAGACATTGCAACAGGTTTGGCATATCAATCCTGCTTGCAATATCTTCGGAAATTATATATATTTTACATTATTTAACCGGACAAAATCGTGTAGGAGCCCTGATTGCAGTGTGACACCTATGTGTGATACTAGCAATCTTGAATTGCATTATTATAGAAAGTGAGATAAGATGGGACCAGTACGTTGATAAAATGCCAAAGGTCTAAAGGTCATTCTTACACACAGAACACAACATATACAAATAAACACTTTCAAAGTCAAGTCAACTTTAATGTCAATTTGCCAGTGTGTTTGTTTGAGACAGAGAGATCAAAATAACATTTCCAACAATCCCGAATACAAAATACAATAATAGAAATATATAAATACGCATAAATGTGTAAATGCTCTATATATACAATCAACAGACACATTTACACATATACACATTAAGATAAAACACAACAATCAATACAAAATAACAAAATAACAGTCACCTCAATATGTTAGGGAATGTACACAGTGCAAGATTGTCCATAGCAGCGTAAAAAAGTGTCTGGTGCTGGAATTAGACATTAGATACCTTTTACATTTACTATTAATAAGAACTATGCAATAATAAAAGTAACATATACTAATATAACACATACAGATTTTGAGTCTTAAGCATAACAATTGAATCAAATATTTATTTTTGAACCGATATAGACACCATTTAATTGTGTTGCATCTTTAAGAACTTTATACGATACGATATACTTTATTGTCCACCGTAAGGAAATTGGTTCTGGACTCCGTCCTGCAGTTCTGCATACATTTACATATACAAACATAGTGGACACTAATGTATTATGTCTCACTATGCTAACAGTGACCTGCATCATGAAATCAAGCTGCTTTTCTTGTCGGTTTAATAACAGTCGACTCTGTCCCACACCTGTTGTTTCACCTTCCTTATCTTGGGACGAAACCAAAGGTTTAAAGGTTGTCCTCTGGCGTTTATAAATCCTCTGCATTGTGTCTGATGGTATCTGCAGTCAGAGCAGCCATGTCCACGACCGCAGAGCCTCAGACACGCAGCAGTGAGTACACACCACCCTGTTGCCAGATGTTTTTTGTTAGAATATGATTGTGAAGCAAAAATAAAGACGTTTGTTTTTGGGATAATAGTAAAAAAAAACAATACTAGTCATCATTTTAAAAGAGGAGAATATTTTAGCTTGATAGCGGTTTTATATGATTCCACAATAACGTGAATACACAATTCCTTTGAGTTAAGCATTTAAGGATCTGCTTGATTTCTCTCTAGTCTTGTTTCTACATGAATGCAAAACAAGAAGCCATTTTTCATTGTTATTGATTTTGGGGAAAATCCATGACTGACTGAATTAACAATTCACACATCGAAGTGTGGACATTCATAGCGTTTTGGTGTATCTCTTTTTAAAGCACAGATAATAACATTAGCATCGAATCTTGCATAGAATTACACACACACACGCACGCACACACGCAGACACACACACACACACACACACACACACACACACACACACACACACACACACACACACACACACACACACACACACACACACACACACACACAGAGACACCATGACGTGCGTAATGTGGTTTAGACATAATTGTATTTTCTTGGGTTTCAAAATCAGAGCTGTAGTTACAATAGGACATGTTGGCATATTCCATTGTTCCTGCTCCAAGGTCTCCTGTTGAATCAGCGCTGGAGAAAAAAAATGTCTAATTAACAGCTTTTAGTCATTCTCAGCTCTTAAATGTAATAAGAAAACTGACTGCAAGGTCCCTGCACAGACAAATGAAAAGCGGATTATTAAAAAAAGGTGCGCATGAATCTGAAAATGTATTCCAACAAGACCTTTTACTTTTACACTTACTCATTCAGACTAAATGCTGGTGGCTTAAGAAAACATTGTTAAACAAAGACATGTTACAAGTAAACCAATCTTGCAAGTGTGGTTAAACAACAGTGTTGGATAAAAGATACCTGAATATATTTTCACAGCTTTTGTTTTCAAGAGACTCCATTTTGAATGCAGTAGAAGGAAAACACATGGAATACCCTTCCTTTTAGAAATGACAGCACATATTGCATCAATGCAGAAATCACAAACAAAACTTAAACAGTCTACATACAGATAGCCTGTTAAAGCCTGCAGTGGTTATCTCTCTATTGCACATCCTCGTTTTGATAGTCTGTTGTAGCAGTGTTATGAGAACGAACTAAATTCTGCCTCAACTGATTGGCCGCAATAACAATCCACGTCGTCCAAAAACTGTGATATTGAAGCCTGAGCTCAGCGTGGGCTCCGTATTGAGCCGGAGCGATTTGCTTTTGCTAATCACGTTACTACTACTGTATTTTACAAACGCCATTATGTGTGGCGAAGTGAGAAATGGGAATTGGTTATTGGATAAAAGATGAGAGTAGATAACGCAGGTGTCATTCAAAGTGCATGACCCCACGAGCCATAAGAACATAAAAGCCAATATCTCCAAACACTTAAACAGCCTTTGCTCCTACCGTTTTTTTTCACTCAACAATTTTTTATTCACATGTTGTATTATTTGATTAAACTGTTGATAGCATAAAAAAAAGTGGCAGTTGTGTGAATAAGGCTTGAAAGTGTAATGTTCTGTTAATTTAACACTCAGATGTCTCATGATCGTGTTGTATTCAACTTAATTAGGAAGATAAAGCTGCTTGTTGTTAACCATGGTGTTCATATCCTTAGGTCATGTCTCCGCAAGAGTGAATAACAGATTACATACTTAAATCACTTCCTCATTCCCAGTCGTGCAAAGTCCCATAAACCTAACTGCACCACGCCTAGTGTATGCATGATGAGGGAATATACCTGAGAGAGGTGAGGGGTGGTGGGGTGGGCCAAGAGTTCAGCTGCTGCACGTGTATTACATAAACCAAAGTGACATACACTTCAATAATGTTAAAATTCCCTCAAGGTTTAGTTTTGTCGACATGTTGAGTGCAGGGGGTGGGATAAGAACCACTGACCCACTGACAAAGATTGAACAGCATACTAATACTAAAACAACCCTCCTCTCCTCTCTTCAGTTTCCAGCGGGCAGAAATGTCCGCCGGGCAAGGGGCTGGAGAGCATAGCCCCTCTGGTGCAGTCTGTGGAGGAGACCCCTGATCCCATCCCCACCACCATCAAGGGAACCATCCCAACATGGATCAATGGGAGCTTCTTGAGGAATGGTCCTGGGAAGTTTGAGTTTGGGAAGGACAGGTAATACGGAAGAAACAACTACTTTTAAAGGTCACCTATTATGCAAAACCCTCTTCTTCATGTCTTTTCTACATCAACATGTGTCCCCTCTTCTTCATGTCTCTTCTACATCAACATGTGTCCCCTCTTCTTCATGTCTCTTCTACATCAACATGTGTCCCCTCTTCTTCATGTCTCTTCTACATCAACATGTGTCCCCTCTGTGGAAAGAGACTCTGAAAGTTTCAGGAAAAAAGATTCTCTCTCTTTTTGTCCTGATCCATTTCTATAAAAACCTGTCTGAAAATGAGCTGATCAGATTTTGGCCACTTTATGATGTCATAAAGATTTTTGGCTCGGTAACCATTAGCCAATCAGCAACTAAGGTAACCCCCCCCCACACCTTATCACCTGCATTTCCTCCTAGAGGGGTTTATGGGATGCTACAATGCACGTATGCTTGGTANAATATATAATAATATACCTTGGTTGCTGATTGGCTGATGGTTGCACAAGCCAACAAATCTTTATGACATCATAAAGTGGCCAAAATCGGATCAGCTCATTTTCAGACAGGTTTTTATAGAAAGGGATCAGGACAAAAAGAGAGAGAGAATCTTTGTTCCTGAAACTTTCAGGGACACATGTTTATGTAGAAGAGACATGAAAAATTGTATTTTGCATAATAGGTGACCTTTAACGTAATCTTTTTGCTCTCAGATACACCCACTGGTTTGACGGCATGGCCATGATGCACCGGTTCCACCTGTGCGATGGGAACGTCACCTACAGCAGTCGTTTCCTGCAAAGTGACTCATACGTCCAAAACTCAGAGAAGAACCGCATCGTGGTGTCGGAGTTCGGGACATTAGCCATGCCCGATCCCTGCAAGAACATCTTTGCACGCTTCTTTTCACGCTTTTCAGTCCCTAGTATGTGTGTTTTCTTTGCATATTCCCATGTGTAAACCATTTCAGCGCAGCATAATATATCACCAGCAGTGCCAAATGCATTATTAAACTATCCAATTCATTACTGCATGAAGGCACCTCACCAGCTTTGATAGTTTATTACAGGCCAAGTAAATAGTCAGAAAAAAAAAAGTTTTCTTAAGGTTTTCTTTCCTCAGTGCTCACAGCCTTGACTGTATTGTGTATCGCTTGAGCAGTCTAATGAAAGCTTATGTTACATCATATTGGGTTTTTGATGTTAGCGGACCGCACAAGGTGTGTGTGTGTGTGTGTGTGTGTGTGTGTGTGTGTGTGTGTGTGTGTGTGTGTGTGTGTGTGTGTGTGCAGAAGAAAATGATGGAAAAAGTGGTTCCTGTGAGTTTGACTTCTATATTTAAGATGTCTCTGATATGTTTGTGTGTGAACAGAGTCCACGGATAACGCCAGTGTGAACTTTGTCAAGTACAAGGGAGACTATTATGTCAGCACAGAAACCAACTACATGAGACGAGTAGATCCACAGAGCCTGGAGACAAAGGAGAAGGTGAGTCAGTGGAACAGATATTAAAGTCTCTTCTGAATACTGGTGCTGATAAACGGTCACAGGGCAAAGAAAATGAATGGTGGGCGACTTTTGATCATGATAATGAGGACAAGGAAGATGATGATGCTGTCTGTTTTAGGTCGACTGGAGTCAATACATTGCTGTGAACTCGGCGACAGCTCACCCACACTATGACCGTGACGGAGCCACGTACAACATGGGCAACTCCTTCGGAAAAAGCGGTAACCTTCGTTTCCTCCCTTCCCATCTTCCTATCTACCAACAGTGTTTGGAGGGTTACTTAAAAATGTAATCCGTTGCAATTACTAATTAGCTGTAAAGCAACCTAATCTGAGTACCAACATATAAAAGTATTGAAACCTGATACTGATACTTTCCGTTACTTTTGGATTACCTGATAATCAAAGGACAATGTAACCTTGCAAAGAAGAAACCAAGATATCTAGTATAACAAATGTGTCCTCTACTCAAGATTTTAGAAAAACCTGCCTTTCCTGAAGCATTTAAACGCAGCAATGAAACACATGAGCACATACTACAGTTTAGAAAAGCAGAAATGAAATCTGAGCTACCAGAAAATGCTTTCAAACATACCGTTACACTTACAGACACTATTCATGAACAAATCGGTTCACCTACTGAATTAAGTAAGTACCAAAGAAAGTGAATACCATAAAGCAAACTCAGGCAGAAGGCGTATAGATTCACTTATACTTCTTTAACAAGAACCACAATATTCTCTCAGTTCTTTTTTCCTAACATTGTAATCCTGCTATATCCCCAATATTTAGACATTTAACAGTAATCTAAATACGTCTGTTTGTATCTAACTGTAAGAGAATAAAGTTTTTTTGTATTTTATACGTAATCCCGTTACATGTAATTCGTTACTTCCCAAGCTTGCCTACCAAACATTATCAGTATTTACATAAATATCCTTATGCTATCTATCCCAAATAATGCTGTGCAACATCATTTGTTTTTGGTCCTCCTCAGGTTTCTTCTACAACATCATCCGTGTTCCTCCTCCTGAGGAGAACGCAGCGAAGGAGGACTCAGCAGATCTGACTGGAGCCACAGTGATCTGCTCCATCCGTGCAGCTGAACCCAGGAAACCTTCTTATTATCACAGCTTTGGTGAGATACTGTCTTCAGTACAACAAAGACCTTCTTTAAGTTGCATGTTGGATGTAAACTGAAGTGGAATTAATGAGTTCTATGCGAGGCTTTGTTTTCCGCCCGCACTGACAGGGTAAGTCTATTTCACTGAAGGCGAGAGTCACCCTTTTTTTCCCGTGCTCTTATTAATTACTCATTTGAATTCTAGTCTCGCCCTGCTTCTTTTTGACAATCACAGCTCCTTTGTCTTTCTGTTCAGCTTTCACTATCTCTCTCTGTCTATAACTTTGCTTCTGACTCACACTCAAAGTACACACTTTCTCGTACCCTCTGTGTCAGTCCTAGAAACATTTAATCTGTTAGAAAAGACATAATTATAACTTTTTTCTACTCTAGTTTCTTCCATTGCTTAACTCCAAAAAGCAAGGCTTCCAAGATGCTGGTAGAAAGTGTGTAAAAGTGTTTGATGCTTTTTTTTGTAAATCAGCTTTTACTGTTATATGCCTTCAGTCAGGTAGGTTACAGATAGATGAAACCCCTCTTTAATGCTCACACATGCAGAGCACACATGCACACACAGTGAAAGTTGGAGTCTAGTACTAGGAGCAGTGCTTATAAATCTTTTTGGGGTATTTCCCTTTCCTGTAGTTATTATGTATGTTTTTGTGAATGTAAATAGTCTGCAAAGGCTAAAATCCCAAAGTCCCTCCCCCCTCCGCCTGAAACGCCTCCATTGGGCTCCTTTGTTTACTTCCGTACATCGTGACATCACTATGTAACACTCACGCTTTTATTGGCTAGCGCTCCAAGACATTTTACATGAAAGGGTAAGGGGCGGGACATCTCTAAACGGTTGGCCAATCACAACAGAGCCGGCCAGCTAACCAATCAGAGCAGACTAGGCTCTGGTTTCAGACAGAGGGTGAACAGAGGTGCTGCAGCACAGGCAGTGTGAGAGAAATAAAGAGCTTTTTGAACATTAAAGCATGGAGACATGTCCCAGTTACCTCAACTACCTGTAACGATATGATTGGATGTTGCTGGTCAGCTGATAGCCAAGCAGTTGATTAAAAAAACGACTGATAGTGAAGCATGTGAGCTGATGTCAATCGGCTTACGCCAGCACATCCTCATTGTTCTGCCTGATGTAGCACAATGTTTGGTTGTTGTACTGCACCAGTTCCCTGATAACATCTCAGTGTATATTTCCGGCAGACCACCCTTTCTCTGCCAGACTGTCTGGCTCCAAGAAATCTCAAAAGTGGTGGACCATTTTACGGTTAGACAAGGCAGCACCTAATTACGTCTGTCAGTGTAGTTACAGTGGAAAGGGTTATGTTTAGCCCCTATTTGAACTGTGTATCTGCTACAGTAGCACAACATTTTGTCTCGAAGGTCGGTGCTGTGACAGAAATGTTTTAGCTTTTCAAATGTACAGAGTAGCAATGGCCTTCTGAAAAAAAGGATTTATCATTTATGTAAACACTCTTTCGCTTGTCCAACATGATTCAAGATTCAAAGGCTTTGCTGTCATACAATAGAAGCAGCGTGGTTTTGGCAATGAAAATATGAAGTCCCAAGCTCCTCCAACAGTACAAAATAAATATACCTAACACAACAATGTCAAGATAAGAAATAAATAAATATATATATGAGGTAGAAAAGTGTAAATATGTTATATCGTAAAATAGTGCAAGGAGAAACTGAAATATAAATAAAGCAAAGTTAAACGCTGCTTATTGCTATAATAAATAAATAAATACGTTAGCTGTATACAGATGTATAAACATATGAAGGAGAAGGCAGTTCACAGAGCTCAGGAGTTTAACAGTCTTATGGCCTGTGGGATAAAACGAAGACAAAATCCGTCTCACATCATCCTGAATAATGGTGTCATTTTCAGTTGACATCAAGACATTAATGTCCTACCACTTACCCCGGACTGTAATTTGGTTCCCAGCTAACTAACTACTGAAATAATATTGACAGTTAATGTGTCCTTGAAATAATAAGCTCACCAACTTGATGCGTTTGTGAAAATGTAATGATATATGTGGGGTAATGATAAAAGAAGAACTTGTCAAAATCAATAAAAGAATTATACAAAAATCTAACTGAAATGTATAATCCCACCACGATTAAGAATTTACTTTATTAATCCTAAAGAGGAAATTCAGTTTTTTTATTTATTTACTTTACGTCACAGACGAAGCACCAACATATACACATGCACAAACACGACCCGTACACATGATCAGTGGAGAGGTGTCAGAGCAAAGAGGCCACAAATGGTTCAGCGCCAATTCGTTTTTTTTCTTCTTTTGCCTTGCTAAAGGGCACATCAGCAGTCAACTGGAGGCGAACTTGCACCTCTCTACCTGTCTGCACTTTGTATTTTGGTCCCACTAGAACGCGTGACCCTTTTGGTTCCCATGCTAAGACAGGCCTAACATGATTGACACTGCCTTGATTAGTCAAGCTTCAAAACATGATATATGATACGAGAGAGGCTGTGTGGCGCAGTGGACTAGTGCGTTGGTGTTCGGATCAAATTGTCACAGGTTCAAACCCCACTGCAATCAGCATGTCGTTGTGTCCCTGGGACTCTTCACCCCAAATTGCCCCTGTGGGAATTGTCCATATTATTGAGTATGTAAGCCGCTTTGGATAAAAGTGTCTAACAAGTAACATGTAATGTAATATGTTACTGACATATGATTTAAAAAGACGTGTCAATAATGTGTTTTTGTATTGAATAAATGTCCTCCCGTGTGTCTCCAGTCATGTCGGAGAACTACATCGTGTTCATTGAGCAGCCGATCAAGCTGGACCTGCTGAAGTTCATGCTGTATCAAATCCAAGGAAAGAGCTTTCATAAAGTCATGACCTGGGAGCCTCAGTGCGAAACCATCTTCCACCTGGTCGACAAGCACACTGGCGAGGTGAGTTAATCCGGCAGCAGACACGCAGGAAAGTGTGAGGTAGAAAACACACGTTTGCTGAATAGCCAGAAACCAAAAAAAGGAAAGCTGCGAGCTAATCTCTTCACGCCTGGCAGAGCTTTTTCCTTATTTATTTTGATGAAGTCACACTCTGACGGTGTAGCTTTTCCTCATACATTGTTACTCTCAATTTTCTCATCTCATTAGACAGCATACCCATTAAGCATACTATATCAAACGTTCATAATGTGAATGTACAACACTATAACAGCAGTGTGTGGGAGGGGGCTTGTCCTCAAATGTTAAAAATAACCAACAAAAGAGAAAGCTTTGTTTATTCGAAAGCATTAATTATCCTTTGTCATTTTGGTAATGTTTTGCTGGTTGTTCCCACAGGAGAGTGAGGTGAGGTACCGGGCAGCCCCCATGTTCACACTGCATCAGATCAATGCCTTTGAAGACAACGGGATGTTGGTGATGGACATGTGCTGCGGGGACGATGGTGAGGTCATCGGAGACTTCACACTGGAGAACCTCAGGAGAGGCGCCGGAGAGGAAATGGACAAGGTGAATACATGTCAGCAGGAGGTTAAGGGTATCTTTGGCTCTAACTAAATGATCGTGACTGATTGTCATATAGTGGTGTTTCTGTTAGACCATTATGCCACCATTTGTCTGCTAACATGTCGGTTTGCATTTTTAACATTATCATTAATTTCTTCATCAACTTAGTTTTTACTTAAATCATTATCTACAAAAAATAAATAAATAAAGAAACGTGAATCAGGATTTTGAGATTTGTGGTTCCAGCTTTGTCCTTCAAGGCCATTTCCGCCTCCCTTTATTTGTTTGTCTCTCTGTTCTCTATCTGATTGTCATTATTTTCATTTGACTTTCTCTCTGTCATTCATGAGTTAGTGCTGCAATTTTACTTTAATCAAAAACATTCTCACCTGAAAATAATATAAAACATCCTCCAGACTGTCATAAGAAAAGCCAGATTTCTTTGTCAGTGTTTTGTATCTGTTTGGGTTTGATTGTTACTGAGGTTGCATTGCACCTTTCAGTCAAATCAGCCACACTTTTTCATGTCTGTCTGTCTGATTTCATCTGGCAGTTCTACAACTCGTTGTGCAGAAACCTCCCGAGGAGATATGTCCTACCCCTGACTGTGGACAAGGAAACTCCTTTGGATCAAAACCTTGTCACTGGGTATAAAGCCACAGCAAAGAAAACAAAAGCAAAAGAGGTACGATTAAACAGAGTGCTGTCCGGTCACTGTATATACAAAGTATTATGTTTAACTGTACATTACATTCAAACTGGTTTTCAAGTCAAAATGGAGGCCTATAATCATGAAAAATACAGCTATTCACTCCCACTCTGTGCAATTATCTGGCGCGCTGAAACACTGAAGGTACTTTAACAAGATTGTTACTTCATGACGTTCAGCAGATAAACATGAAGTCCACTGAACAATTGCCATTTAACAGCTAATACACACACACACACACACACACACACACACACACACACACACACACACACACACACACACACACACACACACACACACACACACACACACACACACACGCACACACGCACACACGCACACACACACACACACACACACACACACACACGCACAAACGCACACACGCACGCACGCACGCACGCACACACACACACACACACTGTCCAACATTTTCTTGTGGCAGAACAAAGCTGAAACGTTAAAAGGAAATGTGATGTTTTAGTTGTCATGACTACCTGAGTGACACTAGCCTCAGTGAGAGTGGAGCGATGTTCATGTAACGAATTAGTGAAAACACAGCTGTGAACATGGCTACCACAGTCCCTGAGGGCAAATATAAAGAAAAAAGTGATTTGTTATTGCAATTGAAGGAAGATATATATTTTTTAAATAAAGCAATCGATTTATAACTCAATACGGAAATCAATTTCTGTCAACTTGTGCTGGTATCCATTTACTGAATTGAGAGAAAAATACAATATTAATTCCAGCATAGGTGTCATGTTTTTACTCTGGGGACATTTCCAGGCCACTTTTCGAAATGTTGTCGAAAAAGTAAAAATGTTTAACATACGTTCTGAAAAAATTACTTTCTCCAACAAACGTTAATTTAAAACATGAAATAATAAACCGATCAGAAACTTCAAACATTCCTCGACTAAGTGTTCTTGTTTTTCCCAATCTTGGTAAATATATATGTTAATCTGATTCCCTTACATTGCCTAAAAGTGTATATGTTGAAGACCATTTAATCATTAAATCTTCTGACCCCCTATCCCCACCACTTCTTACCACAAAGTGACGCCCTTGATTCCAGCAACAGTGTACATTAAGTCAGGTCTACTTGGTTGCCTTTTTGTATGTAAAAGTTAGAGTGAAAGTGATAAATGTCACTTTGTTCTATAACCCTCCAGGTTTACATGACCCACGAGGAACTTTACGATGATGAGCTGCTGCAGTACGGGGGCCTCGAGTTCCCTCAGATCAACTACGACCAGTACAACGGAAAACCCTACCGCTACTTCTACTCCTGCGGCTTCGGACACTGCTTCAGTGACTCCCTGCTCAAAATGGATGTCCACACCAAGGAGCTTAAGGTCTCTATTAATCAAAGAGTTCTTAGGAAGTCTTCATTGTTAGCTGTTCACATCAAAGTTACTTCTGCTGCTGCTTCTCTATCACTGAGAGCAGGAGGTTGGGAGTTGGTTTTATAACATGAAACGGCTCCGAGTGAAGGGGATGTTCATGTAATCTTCCCTTTCTAGGTGTGGCGTTATCCCGGCTTGTACCCGTCTGAGCCTGTCTTTGTTGCGTCGCCCAAAGCTACCGAGGAAGATGATGGGGTAGTCTTGTCAGTCATCATTACACCCAGAGAAGTATGTTCACAAAAATCACAACAGCAAAACAATCCACCACAGAAGCAGCACATAATGTTGACTTAGACAGCAATCAATTAAATCATTATGACGTTAGAATGTAGCAAAGCACTTTGACATAGTAATTAAAGTATCACAATAATTTTACATTTCCATAGAGAAGACCAACAGTTTGGTGCTTTCCCTATCATTGTTGTGAAAAGGGTGTTCTGTGACCCGTCTATTTACATTACCTAATTAATTTCTTCTGTTTCCAGGAGAAAAGCACTTTCCTGCTCATTCTGGATGCCAAGACCTTCACTGAGCTGGGCAGAGCAGAGGTCCCCGTCAATATCCCGTACGGGACCCACGGCGTGTTTAACCTCAAGGGCTAGACGTACCACCGTTTGGAGCTCTGTGGAAAATTAAATCTATTTATCCACAGAGCACTCATCAAAATCAATATGGTTTATGCCATTGATGTTAAAATTCCGAAACTCTAAAAGAAATAAGAACAGAAATAAGAACTGCAAGGAAATGCCCATTTGTTTGTGCCTCCTCGATAAGAACAGGTACATGTCCTCGCTGTGTACTTCCATTACAGTCAGATAGATAGAAATCTAACAACACAGAAAGCCCAGCATGGCATCAGCACACTGATAAAATGTGTCCTCTAAGTGTTTTTACAGTATATGCTCTTTTGTAACAGCCTTTAGACGATGTCTAGAGCCCCTGGCCGATAGCGCTTATTTTGAAGGACTGCTACTTGAATCATCTTGAAAAACCATAAAACAAAACATAAGTCAATACTTAAATTGAAATAAAACCCATTTCCCCCTTTTTTCTGTATAAACCCAAAGTGTTTTTGCATCATCACGCCACTGGAAACGCTATACTCCCACTGAGAACGGTGCAGCACTTAGGATACATAAAAATGCATCAGAGGAAATTCAATTTCTGTCAAAGTAATGTGATAGAAATGGACAACGTCTGAAATGCCTGGAAAACAAATGGATCTAACTGGTCGATAGCCTCCAGAGAGTCTAGCGGAGGTCATATCAGAAATGGAGCGCTTTTTATACGCTCAAAACAACCCAAAACAAAGTTGACACACACATAAACACTGACATGTAGGACCTTGTGTGAGACCAGTTTGTTGTTGCATTGTATTAAACTGTGAGCCAAAGGAACAATGCAGAGTGAAGGGAACCGACCGCACAGAGAGGAAGAAGGAGCCTACAGCTGCACCTGTCACTCCACCGTATCTGCAGCCATCAGTTATATTTCCCCTCACTTTGGTTTAAATAGATTGATTTTAAATGACTTATGGCTTTGCACCTGATACAGGCACTAATGTCTGTGTGAAAGCAGAGAGGTTTCACATATATTATTTGACCCATATCATTTTTCTCTTTCCCAATATTTCAAAAAAACACTTTCAGTCAAGAGTTACAGTTTTAAAGATATTTTGCAACCTATCCGTAAATAATTCAGGACACTACAGTGCACACACACAGATATATCATTTTTTGCTTCTCCTTTTACACTGAACTCAATACAAAACAGGGAGGAAAAAGAGCTGTTGGGAATTCATGTAATTAATGTAATACTGGGAATTAACTACACTTATGTTTTTGTCATGTTCCCTGCTCAGCCTTGGGCTGTGTCTCCTCATAAGCATGCTGCACAGGTCTCCCAAGATGCACATTAATTAGCCCATAATTCCTAATCTAATCAGTCATGCGTTAGCTCTGTGTGATTTCCTGAGTTTGTGTGTGTGTGCAAATATTGTATGCTTAGGTTCATTAGTACTCTCTCCAACGAGCATGACCTGCCGAGAGAGATACAGCGACCTTTGCCTTCAGATAAATCTCAAGCTAAATTTCCTTTTTTCGCAAATCTGTGAGGAGAAGCAAAACCTTATCAATGTTGCCTAACAACCTTTCAATGTAAAGTATTATAGGGTGAGACATTAAGCACATGGATCAATAGTTTGTTCAATGTGTTGCTCTAGATAGTTAACACTTTAAAGGCTAAATGTGTTGGAATGACCTGGGTGGAGTTTGAATGATTGCTAAACACGCTAACTAGAGTCCTTCCAAATCACTTGTGAATGCACCTTTACTGCAGCAGAAAGAAAATGTGCATGCATCGCATTAGTATGCACATTTTTCCTTTCCAGCATTAACAGTTTCAGACTATCCACGCTCTTATTCGACCCCTGAGAGTATGCCAACCCAACTGCTGTCTCACTAAGCACAAGTTATTGTACAGGGTCTTAACTCTGACTGCCATCTCTATCATTATTTCATATCCGATGAATTCATAATGGTATCATCTATATTCACCATATTAGACACACTTCTCAGAGACAGGCTCTGATTTCCCTCAATAGTAAGAACAATGTCTTCAATATCCAGATTTGTCATTCTATCTTCACGGTCTTGAGTTGTCATGGAGAGAACGGTTGTCTGACATACATATCGTGTGCATCTGTGTGCATAAGAATATGCTTATTTATGAAACCAGTATGGAGCCGTGCATGTGCGTGTGTCTCTCTGTGGGCTGCCTCTAATCGTACACATAAAAAAAAAATGAATACAGATGCTTTATGAAGTCAGAACGGAGCAATGAAATACCCACAGAGGGGGTGAATCGTGCAATGTCAACAAGAATAATGTCCCACCATGGACCTAACAGGCTGGCTCAAGAAAAAAAAATAAAAAGAGAAAAAGATTTATCCATATTGCACAATCATGGGAGGAAATAATGTGATGCCGGAATAGGAATCCACAATGCAACTGTATTTGTTCCATGTGTTCGCAGCTAATGTTTCTCTTGATTGTTTGTGTTACAAGAAATGTCTTCTTCCTCCTGAGCCCACTGCTCAAGCAACTGAAAACTTGAACTGGTTTACATAACTCTTTTTCAGTCATAAATTACTTGAATAACTTTACAGCTTCTTGTTTATTCGTTAAATGAAAAAGGGAATTGCTCCGGTTTTGGACATAGCTGCACAAGGTTGCCATTCTGTGTTGAAAAATGCATTCCTGCTTTAAAGAATTGAAGAAGAGGCTGAATCAGTCACTGCCGCACCATTGCTGGACAGATGCAGGATATAGTCATGGGGGAGGATGATGCTTTTCAGTGTCCTCATAATGACAGAGACTTCAAAAATCTTTGGGGAGAGGAGAATAAGCCCGGGCCAATATAGGCAGAATGAGGCTGATTTTGCCATTATAGCAGCGAGCTGTTTTCCCTCTTGGATGGGAGCCCGGGCTGACAGTCAAACGTCATTATGAGCCAGTGGCCTTGCAGTTTGTCACTGTCAGAGCCTCTAAATAGAGACATTGTTTTCAAGATTTGTAGAGATTTATGACATTCCCTGCATTATTTAAGCGATGATGCACAACAAAGTCATTTCGTCTAATGCAAAGCCACTTGGGAAAATGGCAGATTCTTGTGGGCTTATTTCCTCCGAGCACATATATAATACCAGGCATTGTGCCCGGGTTTTTTTCCGTTTTTTTTTATCTTCCTTTCAATCAGAGGAAACACAGATGTCACGAGAAATTGCTGGACTCTCACTGTAATGAATGATGACATTTTCATCATCTTTGTTGAGTCCACCCTTGAACCCTGTCCATGCAAATTATTAGCATATTTCTCTAAATTGTCGGTAAACCACTAATGTCAGCCAAAAACGAATTTGCTAAATAGCTGAATAGCCTACTATATTAACCCTTGAGCTGGAACACCAGATATTCTTGCCATTGATACATGTTGCCAACAAATTCCTTCCCTTGATTTGCTGCAGTTTTCTTCTCATCTTTCTATAAAAGACTGTGAAGGAGCTTTAACGAAAGATATAGCAATCTTGCAAGAATGATTTTGCACATGAATCTCAGAAATTGTTTCACAAAATGTATAGGCTCTCACAGAAAATCCTGAGGCAATACCCCACAGGAAATACCTCACAGGCCAAGCGAGGTCACTATAATTTCTCCGCTGCCGAGGACCGCAGGTGTATTTCTCCCCAGCTCCCTGCAGAAAGATTACAGACATATCCTGCTGATTTTTCTATAGGGTAAAACATTTTGTATTGAGCCTCGTTGTGACCGGTTGTGACCATAGACTGTATGTGACCCACGTTTTCCAATGAGAGCACCCTCCCCACAGCGCCCTCTGCTGGCGCACAGAAACTCCTCTTTATAAAGTGCCGTGATGCCTCGACACACATGCAGTCAGTGCAAAAGAAGCGTTCACTCCCTCCAGAGGAGCGCACTGCTTTCTGAAGGAGCCAGTGGTTGAGGAGAAAACAATCCAGTCAGCGTTTTGTAGTCACTTTCAGATGACTTCCTCTGCCTCGTTAGAGATATTGGCATAGCTGACAGATCTTTTCACGCCAGTTTAAGGAATGTTTTAGGGAGAAATTGTCTCCAAGGGGCAATTGGAGCGGGCAGTGTGAGCCCTTATAATGCGGAGAGATCAAGTCTCAGTAGTTTGTCGGAATGAACGCAGCGCAGACGGACCCTGAGAAACTGCTCCATGGATTGACTGATTGATTGATTGGCATTTGATTTTACATTTTTCTTCAATATCTGAGGATTTCTTTCTGTGTCGTGGTTAGTGTATTAATAAAAAAAAAAATCGTGGATTACTATTGGGGGTCGAGGATTTTTTTCCGGAGGTGCGTTTTTAAAGAGGATATTTATTTTGTATTTGGTTTTTTAGTTAGGTTACGCACGGGTCAAGGATCCGAAGAGGGGAATTAACCTTTGACAAGGTGGAAATATTCATCGTTTGGACCCTAACTCATCTCTCCAACATGAAGTCTGTCACTGTGTGGATGTGCGTTCACATCTTCCTCCTGCTCTTAGGTGAGAAGTGAAATATGGAAAACATGTATAATTGTGCGCAAATGTGATCAATTCAGGCATTACAAATTACAGGATGGATACATTCTGACATTATTAATGATTGCCAAGGGGCATTTTCTACTGTGTCCACTTTTCTCATGCATGAGTTGCTTGAGGGCAAAATATTCATGCTGCTTTTTATAAATTAATATGTGTGGTCAAATACTGTTATATTTTAGGCGGATCAATTATGTTTAATGTCAAAGATACAAGGCGAAGTTGGTGTATGCGAGTGAAACACTTATTATTTTTGATTCATTAAAAACCCACAGGATGGATCTCATTATTGCCACAGCTTTTAGTCAGTAAAGGAAAATAACTGAGCTTTCACCACACCAGTGTTTGGTTTAATGTGAAAAAATATCATCATCATCATCATCATCATCATCATCATAATTACCATCATGAGTGTCGTCCACAAACGCCAGTGCGTCAGTTTAAGTCATCTGACTGATAAAATATTTTCACAGTTAACTTCATGTGACTCTTTTTCCTTCACGTTGCTCTCTGATACTGATGCAGTGTCCCCTCCCCTCTGAGGGTCGATGCTCAGTATCACCACACGGGGTCTCTCTTGTCATTTCACCAGAATCGCCTGTAGTTAAAGTGTGTGTGTGTGTGTGTGTGTGTGTGTGTGTGTGTGTGTGTGTGTGTGTGTGTGTGTGTGTGTGTGTGTGTGTGTGTGTGTGTGTGTGTGTGTGTTTGTGAGTTTGGATTTTTGGATGTTGACTTATGTCAAACGCAACACCTGACTCATCATTGTTTACTCAAAGCCAGGAGTCATTTTCTGGATGTGATATTGGGAAGCTCACTTTTTTTTCTAAAGGTGAGATAATTAGATACATTTAATTGATCAAGTCTTCCTTTAATTACATGTAATAGGAGCCTGAACGCCGCAGTCTTACTTGTTTTTGGATGCACTAAAGCGAGAACAGAAAATCACTGAATAGTAATTGAACGGGAACTTAACAAGACCCCATGGAGAGATTTATATGTGTAATGTGAACATGAGGAATTTAACTGTCTTGCTGAAAGACGCCTTGGCCTGTGTGGGCATGTCACAGGCCATGAAACCTGTTTATGGGTCCCATATAAAAATAACCCAAAATGAAAGCAGGTTTATGATAGACTTGCATTCACACACACACAAATCCAAAATTCCCCATATTCAAGTGTGATTTCTGAGCCCTTTTTGTCTTGTCACACCAGTCTGTCCCCCAGATGAGTCAGCGAGTTCCTGGGAGACTCCCTCAGCTTTGTCCGTTTCCTTGGCCAGTGGTTCTCCAGGATCTCTGGGCACCGGGTCTGGGCCTGGAGCTCAGCCGGAGTGGGTGGACTGCATCCAGGCGAGTGACATGTGCAACCAGAACCCTTACTGCAGCTCTCGGTACCGGGTGATGCGCCAGTGCCTTGTGGGCAAGGAGAAGGAAGCCATGCTGGACAACAACAGGGAGTGCCAGGCGGCCTTGGAAGTGCTCCTGGTCAGTCCTCTGTATGACTGCCGCTGCAAGAGGGGCATGAAGAAGGAGCTGCAGTGTCTGCAGAACTACTGGACCATCCACATGGGACTCACTGAAGGTAGGAGGCAGGCGGTTTTACTATTCTCTGTCTCACAAATTCACATCAGGTTTAACTGTGTGGCAATTTCACAACCTGCAACGTAATTACACCTCTTTAAATCATGCTTTGTAAAACTACAAATGTATAACTTAGAACTTGCTCCTTCCACATTTCTCACCGTCAGCTCATTATGAACGACCTGGACCTTTAGTGTCATTTGTTTCCTTCTGTATTCCCCCTGTGGCTGTGAATCCAGCTCACACCATGCTAAATGGTTTTGTTCCTGAAAATGCATAGCAGGGCTCTTCATGAGCCTCATGGTCATGCACAGCTACTAGAAGAAGCACTCGCACTGCGGCAGTAAGCAGTCTGTCAAAGTGCAACACACCTCTATAGATGTTAATGTATGTGACTTAGGGTATTCTTTAGCATTATAACATTTATTTTAAATGATTCTTCCAATCTCAACTCAGAGTGTACTTTCCGGGCAAAGACAATAAGGATGCACTCCACACCCTTGTTGATGCCTTATTCCCTCATGCCCTCTTGTAATGATACCCAGAAGCCCTTGATGAAAAATACATGCTTTCCTTCTTTCCTCACCCACTCTAAGGTAATGGAGCTATAATGGGATTACATCACATAGACCTGTTGTGGTGGACTTATTGGTTTTCACCTAAAGTGTTCCATATTAGGTTACAATTGTATACCTCAGTGGCCCTTATGTGTCCACTTACAGTACGCAGCAGGTTAAATAGCACTCTTATTTGAACCTTCTTGTTTGGACGTTGCGAAACATTTAGAGAGCATAAGGCAGCCTCCTGGATTGACATGTCTCTTGGTCCATATGTTTCACATGAAAACATATCTGACTGAATCAGAGCTGATGGAGATGCAGGGCCCATGGGGGATTGGGCTAAAAGTGAGTCCTTAACCCAAGAGCGACATTACTCCATGCTGACACATGGCCGAAGCTTGTGTGACTGATGTCAAGTGTCATGCCATGTAAACATGGAGGACATTACGTGCTCGGCTGTTTTTACACGTGTGGTGGAAATGTTGCGCAGTCTCACAGCTCAGAGCATTCAGGGCTCTTGTGCGACGATACGTGAAGTGATTTGCCAGGACGACTGCTCATAGCACCAGCTATACACTTCATCAGACTGATGGCAGCAGAGGGTCCCTGACATGAGTTCAAGGGAAATGTAATGACATGGACGCTCCCCAGGCCTTCTGCCTTCCTCCCTGTCTTTCTCTCTCGTTCTGAACACTCCGCCCCCCCCATAATGATCTTTCTGGTCTCCCTTTATATATCTCTTTCTCTCGCCTCACCTAAGAAACATGCGGGCGCTCTGCATCACTCCAAGAGTTTGTGTTTGAGTGCATCTTGGAAGTTGTCTAACTGTCAGGGATAGAGACCTCCTGTGCTTGCCCTTCACAGAGTTTTTGTTTCTTCACTCAGCATATGTCTCTCAGCACTGTCCTGTTTTGGCCCTGTCGCCCTCGGAGATAAAACCCGATTTAACACAAACGAAAAGCTCTTAAAGTGCAGCTTTAATCTAATCACGATCCACTGTGCGGTCAAGCATGCTTTTGTTAACTGGAAACAATCTATGTACAACATCCATCTCTGGAAACAAACACGAAGGGTCAAATCCCAACACACCCTCTCCAAATGGTGCTGAACCACTTTGAAAATGATTTGTGGACAACGCAGGAAGGTTTGGATGTAGTTATTGGGTAAGATGATGCGTAATGTAGTTTTGACAAATGTTCTTCTACTGTTATTAAGATATGAATGGCTCGAGAGGAGATGAGATAGAACGATAAGAAAAGTGAGGAACTAAGGACTAAGAAAGTGGAGTAGAGAATGAGAAGGTGGAAGGACAATGATGACAGACAGAAGAGGGCGGAGCTTGTAAAAGACCTGGACATATTGTTGTATTTATGTGATTAAATCAATTTAAAAAAGTTATCTCTTGTGCCTTGAGCATACACATATACTGTATAACCACTTTGCTGCAACCATAAGCCATTATAAAGTGTTTATTCTACTAATTCAATACAATATTAATACAAACAGAGAAGGTACTAGAAAACAAAAGTAGTAGAAGCGGGAGGGCCTAGTCATCCAATTTTAACGTCAAATACAATCATAGACATATATAATATATTCATCTACATATGTCAACACCACTCCCATGCTCTTTGAAAAAGAGTCATATAATATTTATATAAGTTCACTCATAAAGGGTTTACATACACACCCAAACTTCTAGATTTAAGATTCAAGTTTCAAAGCTTTTATTGGTGCACAAAGCTACAGTGTAGAAATGGCAATGAAATTATTCTGACTTGAGCTCCTCCAACAATGCAACATAATGAAATACAAAAATACAAAAATACAAAATAAAAAGTACTGTAAAAAGACTACCGGTATATACATGTCAATAGAATATGGGATGTGTACAAGAACAGAATTTGAAATTAAATAATGTAAACTAAGACAAAATTATACAATTACAAATACAATGTATACAAACACGCACACACACACACACACACACACACACACACACACACACACACACACACACACACACACACACACACACACACACACACACACACACACACACACACACACACACACACACACACACACACACACACGCACACATAACACATCTATATCTGTATATAGCTGTATCTAATGACCCGTGCTGACCGGAGCAGGGAGTCGGCCTCTCGGGTGCCTGCAGGGCTTCAACATCATGTCTGTGAAGAGAACACTGATGTTGACCAGGGACGGACTGGGATTTGAAACGATGCCCTGCTCCCAGATCAGCTCAACGCAAAGCAGCACTATACTCCACTGCCTCGGGCAAGGTTACACTGTGGCAATACCTAATTGAATGTGTGTAGTAATGTTGTTTATTTCTAAAACAGAACCAAGGGGATGTTGTTAACAGTTCAATACAAGTGCACACATGAATGTAATTAATCATGAAAGCTCAGAGTAGAAGGATCCAGTATGTGGGAACAAAATATTACAAAAAAGGGAATTTATGTCAGAGTAAATTAATTGAAGATCTTTTGCTATGACTTCATAAATGTTAAACATAACATCATACAGCTGAGCTTTTTTTAGAAGCCTATCTTCTGCTAGGCTGCATATTTGACACCAGTTTTGTCTTTAATGTGGAACATTTTTCATTTTTTTCTGAAGTAAGAAAACGTATGATCATTGGTACAAAATATCTTTTCCGAAATTTTACATAGTGATTACTTTATATATAAAATAAAAATGTGCATTAATACATTTATGAGGGATCGTCTGCACTTCTTGACTTTGTCATAATTAGACCAAACTGTTTCCATTTTTCATGTGTGAATGAAGGAAGCACTGCCCCTAAGCCTTGAGCGCTGGTACTCGAATAAGAGAGCATTGAATTTGAAATCTGCGCAACTCTTTTATCTAGACAATCATTATTTTCTAGATCAAAAGGACTTCATAAACCAGAGTTTACCACATAAAAGAACTCACAACGAGAATCAAATTGGGGGCAAAGTCATGTGAAGAATAATGAAAAAACCAACCTAATCCAGAGATTCAAACAAGCTTTGAAAGATCTTCATTTTTAAATTCATTGCCTCACCGCGTTGCCTCTTTTTTTATTCCACTGATGTCCTTCAGCAAACATCAAAATGGACGCTAAAGCAAGAAGTAAATACTGAATGATAGGATAGTGTGTTTTTAGAGGTAGGCATCAAGTCTCTTGTTGCAGTATTTTATTTTAGACGTTGCGAGTTGCCTCCACTAATAAAAGACTTGCAGCTTGGATACATTTATGTGTTAAATTATAATTAAGATTAAAACATAAAAAAGGCATAAACAACTTGCCTTTTTTCTCGTGCTGACTTTGGTTGTAAACTTTTGTTTATTTAAATTCTCATTTTGTAAGCCTGCTATTTGCGGAAATTAAAGGGGCCCTATTATGCTAATGTTCAGGTTCTTATTTGTATTTTGTTCCTCTACTGTGACATGTCTCCATTCTTTAATATTCAAAAAGCTCTTTATTGTTCTCATACTGCCTGTGCTGAAGCACCTCTTTTCCCCCTCTGTCTGAAACCAGAGCCCAGTCTGCTCTGATTGGTTAGCTGGCCGGCTCTGTTGTGATTGGGCAACCGCCCCATAGCCTATCACATGAATGTTAAAAAGTGATGTTACTGAAGAAGAGAAAGGAGTCTAATGGAGACTATTCAATAATAATATTGAATAGTCATTTTGAATATTCCAATCCAGGAAGGGAGATTTGAATATTTGCAGACCATTTAAATGGACAACTACATCCATATAACACATATAGGAAAGGGAAAACCCAATAAAACTTAATCGAGCCCCTTTAAATTTCAAAAAAACAAAGGAGAGAAGGGACGTCACCTTGTATGTGAGATGTGTGTTAATCAACCAGCCAATCAACAATCACTTGTGTCCCAAAATCAGGTGGTGGCGCATCAGTTGGTGTAATTGTGTTTTTCTTCAGCCAGTAAACAGTTATCCTTTACCAAAATACATTTCAGATAACATAGATTTAAAATCACAACCACTGCGTCGAACTGGGCGACATGCACCTTTCTTTTTTCTCCCGAGAGTTCTCTCTTGCTATGGTGTGATAACTGAAAATGTCATACTTAGTTGAAAGCAAACCAAAGAGTCTACCCTGAGACTGAAAGGTAATCAATCTTAAGCCAAGTCCAAGCAGACTCACCGTATAATGCCCTGGTGGAACAGGCCCTTAAGTTGCAGTGTGTCCTCTGTCCGTGAGATGGAACTGTAAATTACATTAGCTACAGCAAACAAGGTTCAGACACTTATGAGCAGCATGAGCGTCTCCGGTTACTAAGGTCCATTGAGAGGCCTGAATCTTTAAGTGTTTCAAAGTTGAATTTATGTGATAAAACACAATGCCCCGCTGCTGAGAAAACACTTTACAATACAGAGTGTGGCAACAATG